TATACGTAGTTATCTACGCGGAAACCGTCGAAACAGTTATTCGTTTGAAAATTTGATACGTATTAAAACTATATCATTATACATATGTGTTCGATGTACTACACATTGACAATATATCATTATATAGGTAGGTATAATGTAATATATACGCCGTACGCGTAGGTATATAATTTTAATTTCACTAAAAGGTTTTTATGTAATAATTTATCTTCTTGCGATATTTTCAAATCCCTAGATTTAATACATTTGTTTAAACTGTCTAATATGTTATTGTAATAAATGCTTTGATAATCCTAAATAACAATGATATTATGTATTCTAGTATAATATATTTTAAATTGTAAGTTCCCAAAAAGTAATGTACAGAGTACTTTATCAATCACGAAACAGTCGTTATCTCGCGGTGAAAGTATACGTTATCATGTTACCCATGTGTTTTTGAGAACAATTTTCTTATACAAATTCAAGTTTTAAAAATTAAAAACACGAAATTTTTTTTTAAGTTTCACTATAATTATTGTTAATGTAATATTTATTTATTTATTATTTTTTTTCTTTCAATGGCGTACGTTTTAAAATTAAATTCAAATTGAAAATCGAAACAGTAGTTACAATTAGTGGTAAACTTATAAACGTTTACGTATTAAATTAGCAGTAAAGTGTGCAAACAATGTGTTACAAAGCACGTAAATTTACCACTAGGAAATGGGTAATTCGTAATAAAAAAAAATCATTCTGTATTAGTGTTCTGAGCGTATAATATGTTAAATCGACGGTGTGATATGGCTAAATGTACGGAGGATGGTAAACGGTCTCATTTGTATACGTTTGGTGGTGTGTGTGATCGTACAACGTATACATATTATATGATGCGGACGGATTCTATACAAATACAAAACCAAATATGAAATAATAAATTACACGAAATAAAATAGGCGGAGACACGCTCATTTATTATTATTTTAAGTGTCTTATTTTTCATTGGTCAATATTGATCAGGTTGTCATGTAATCAAAATATTTAAATTATAAATATTTCTCTGAATATTATTGATCGTGCAAAATGATACCGTTTTCGTTCTTATACGAGTATTATATTTTATAACTTTATAAGTTGCAAATAGTATATAGAATCCTATTTATTTTTTTTAATTATAATCAACTAACTGTCACAACATTTTATACCTAACCCAAACGTTGGTTTGTATATTTTATTCTAAGAAGTGCGGATCATTTTTAGATAAGATTGATATTTTTTTTCGTAGTGTCCGCTAGCACCTAGCAACATTTAGCCAAAACTCTTGGTTAAAAACGTTCCCAAAAAACAACATTTGACTATACAGACTAGGCTTTATAAAAAAAAAATATTGAAAAACAATCAACCATTATAATACTACCATTGTTCAATTCCACTGATATTAATTATAATTTTTATAGTTCATTAATTAATTTTAATATTATTTAAATTCTTGGGTATAAGACTTATTGCAATCTGTCTCTTACTACTTATCAGCTTACTTATTGTCTTGATACTTGTATAGTTGCATAAAAGTCTGTTCTTTTAGTATATTTTTATAATATTAAAATAATGTTCTGCTTTAAATACATCTTGTATAAAAGCTTAAACAATAAATAAATAATGTATGAAGAAACACAAACATAATAAATCTCGAGAAAAATTCTTTAATTAATAAATAAGTATTAAGTTTCTATATTTATGATAATTATTTATATTGTTTCTATTAAAAAGAAAAATTGTTTTCAAAAATTAAATCACCTCACAATTCATTTTTCCTGTATGAACTAGAGACTTTTATTCGAATTTTGATCCGACCAAAGTTCATTGAAGCATATTGTGTAAACTTTTAAATATAAGAAATTATCATAAATCTCTTGTTATATTACATGTTTATACTTTATTTTTGTGGTTATAATTTTGTAATCCAATAGTTATTACCGGTAATTAATTGCCTTTAAGTATCTTGGATTACCTAAGATACCATTATGATAACTTGCCTTATTCACCAAAGTATATAAAGAGATAAATTAAAGATGATAACTGCTCATACTTTTGCGATTAAAAAGCACGAAACTTTTACTCCTTACCTAAGTTTTTGATTACTACATATTTCACTCAAATTCAATAAACAACTTGTTAATGCGTTGGCGTGTTAGGACTTAGAAGCTTATAGCTCATGCTATAAATAAACAGAATAATAACTATATAATATACACAATATATGCCCAAAGTAAATGCTGTAAAAAGTTACCCGACTCTTGTAAAATTTGAACGTAGACATCAAGACGTAGTATACATATTGTTATTATTATGAACTATTAATAGTATCAATATTCTCAGAAAAAAATCTTAACGGCACATTACAGTAGCCGATCATTAGAACAATGTGCATACAGTTGAATTAAGAATCACGATTATATACTCGTATATATTATTAGATACAATAATTTATTTCACAAGTAATATAATTTTGATATTATATCTGTACAATTTATATGCACATTGATTTGTATTATGTTCCACTTTTTAGAACATGTTTTTATTCTATTTTATAATTTTATAAAACCATTTTTAAGGAAAATTATCCTTAGTACAAATATTTTAATAACTAAGAAACTACTAATTTAAATTTGGAATTAGCAACATCAGCGTTTTCAAAAAAATTATCCAATTAATTATTTACAGTAAAAAAGGGAGTTCTCATTTGAAAATTAGAAGTTTGTTGCACAGGATCTATACGGACTCCTTAAGTAGTTATATACAAATTCAAAAATTCGAAAAATTGTCTTAGAGTATATATTTGAAATTCTAAAAATCAGAATTTGAATAAATTCATGGCTAAAAGAAAAAATAGGGATGATAATGATCTGTGAAACACCAATAACACCATGTATATAAAATTATGTAAATCTGGTGTATTATATAGGTGGAAAATAATTTCAATATAATTGAATGTCATTCATTTGATAGAATGTGCTAGGTATATAATCATCAATATGACAAAATGTTGATTTAACTCATTAAAATGTATTGAAAAAAGAATCTTATATATTATACTTTCTATTAAATAAACTCACTTTATCATCCAGATATGTTTTTCAAAGGTAGTCATAGTTCAGCATATCATATTTCCATGTTTACAGTATAATTATAAAGCACTCGTTAAAGCCTAGAGGCGAACATTTGAGACAAGTATTGTCCACATCCAATCTTCTTGTAATGGTTAACTAAATATTATCAACGTTTCATTTTGTTGATGGTTAGTTAAGTTTGTGATACGTTTACAATATAGTTTTTATTTGTATTAACTTTTTCCATGAACACTTTAACGGTTAGTAGAGCTTTTAAAGTTTCATACAGTACTTTTAAAGATCGGAATCCAAAAATCGATTCTAATCTATGAAGAGGTAATTCTCTCAATCGTTTCTCTAAGCATTAGGAAAAAACTAACGACAGCTGTAGAGAAATTTAGAAGTAATATCAGAAACAACTAGTAATGTTTTTTCGAATGCAATTATTTATGATTGCTTTTAATACAATATCAATACTGTACGCTGGGATGAATACAACGAGACAAGTGTTGTGCACCATGTTTCTTTATTATATGTGTACCTACCATAATACCAAAACAGTTTCAATATTAATTTATTAGAGTTTTTTTAACATAATGTTATAAAATGTTTTAGCTCAAAGACGACAAATAAGAATAGATTTTGACATCGATCTTACACAATTAATAATTTATATTAATTTAATAACGATTGTGGTAGTCATGTTTTAAGACATTTCATTTTTAAATTGGGTTGATTTAAATATTTAACATTATTTTGATAATTGATGCAATATTACAGTACCTGCCTCTGTGATTGTAATTGTATAATATTTATTTTCATACAAAGCCGTTCTGACTTCGTTAATCATTATTAACAAAGTTTAAATAAAAGAAAAGCGTAACAATGCCTTACATCTATAAGCACTTTACTGATTTGATATTACCCAATTTTCCATTTATGTTTTTATGAAATAAATATTAAACGTTACAGAAATGAAAGTTGAGTACAATATTTTAATAACAAAGTATCGCGTAATAAAATGAGAATAAAAAACGAATTGTACTGGAGTTTAAATGCCCAAATCCTGTTTCGAGAATTTACAATGACTGAAATTCGTGACATTTTGTTCTCAGACGAAAAAGCTTTTATTTATAAAATAATTCATTTTATTTAAAACAAATACTGCTTTGGTTATTAAATTTTGTATTGTCATTTAACTACATAATAAAAATGCATTTAAATATATGTATAAATATTTTTATGTATATACCTAACATGCATAAGCACTTAAGATCTTTACAACGTTCTAAAAACGGTGTAAACAAAGCTTTAATCAGAATAATTGGTTTTCGATTGTGATGAATACTTAATCATATTTTTACTATACAATTAAATATCAGAATAAACCTCACACCCGCACTGATAGGAGAGCGGGAAATCACCAAAATTCCCGTCATCTGATCTCTGGTATACTATGAAGTTTATTTTTTAATTGATTGGTTTAATTTGGGTAACTATGTATTTGATTTTTGATTTTATTTTAAATATTATTGAAAACTAGGTATAGTTTAACGATAAAAATATATTTTAAATTGTCTCAAATTTAAACTACATCTAATAATTTCCAACGGTATTAAAGAATCACCGAAACTTTGAAAACACGACTACAAAACATGATTATGCTAAAAAAGTTAAACATTAACAGTTGAATAAATTTCATACAGCATACTTTCAATCATTAATGGTGTGACCTATTGCTTTTTATTATTCTTTTTTTAGAATACTTAGAATATCCAAGTATTAATTAGAGTACCATTGTCTGATTGTTTTTTCAATACAATATATATGTTTTAGGAAAATATTGTGTACCTATAATAATTTATCTACTGGCTTACATATACCTATGTACCTGCACCTATTAAATCGAAATTTGCGTGTATTAATATTTAGTTTAATAATTTCAGATACAAATCGAATATACACTTTTCAGACAAAGATTCGATCGGCTTCGCAGAAAACCAAAATCGTTTATTAAGTACGCAGCCATGTAGGTAAGGCAAACCACATTTGAATACCTTTTTAAAATAACAACATTTAAATATTTATGAAAGTATGTATAGTATAATAAATAAGTGATAAATAATAATTGACAATTTTGATTCAATAAAATATGTGAGAATATTTTTTATCGTTTTCAATGTTGACATAATATACTGTGATGCTAACAATAAGAGTGTTCAAAGATATTTAAGTGACGAATTTCAAATTTAAACGACCAGAACATATAGGTGCTTGACTTGTCCCCGACCGCAGTTATTTTCACCAGTCATTGTCACAGTTGTTAATTGTAATACATAGGTAGTTACTAGTTATATAGTCCGAGTAGGTGCAGTAGCTAGCCCGATTTCTATAAATCAGACACATACCTTTATTTTAATTGTCATTCACTAGGCAATTCCTGTATTTACCTCTAAAAATACAATATAAAATATATTTGCTATTTAAGTGTGTGTGTACAGCAATGAACCTAACGCACAAGTTGTTTTGATGGTATTTTTCAAACAATTACATTTTATATTTACGAGTGTTTTATTTTTTAAAAGCAAAAAGCCATCTGTACTTAACATAGTGTGTAAATCGCTTTTTAAATTTAAAATTAATTATACTGAATGTTATATTCTAATTTAAACAGTTTTTATTCATTTTGGATTTTAATGTTTTTTTATTCGGAATATAACTATTGTAGATATTGTTTAATGTTGATTACAACATATTCATATATTTATTTTATAGATAAGCAATCATTGTATGTACCAAACGTTGGTATGAAATATAAGTAGAATACTTTAAAAATAATAATAAAATACAATTATTATTATTACTAATACAATTAGCTGTTACGCAATTTGTTGTTTTAATAGTGTGTAATAGAACAATATTTGTATTATTTGATTTATAACATTATATTTATGTATAGTATTATTATTATAAAATAAAATCACATTTGATACATAAATAAATTTGAAACCCAATACATTTATGAAATTGTTAATTGATTATATTCTAAAGTCTCAAACAACAAACTAAGTACCTACGAACATTTCAATTTCGTATATTGTCAAGTTATCTTCGATTATGCACTTATAAAATATGTTAAATGTATTAAAGCCACTAGAATTGCCTTTTGCCCTATAGTTACGCTGTAAGTTACTATAAAATACATTTAACCCTTTATTCAACTCGCTTGTAGCATTCAATTATTTGAATTATTGGTCAAGACCTTTCGATTACCGTAGAGTACGTTATATAGTGACATTGTCAAGTTCACTGTACAAAGTCCCGAGGGAGGTTGAACTAACGGCATAGTAAGTTCTTAACCAACGCTTTGTTGACTATAATATGATTGCGTTCTTCTCCTTCTACGCGTCCTAAAATGTCTGTTACATCAAGTAAATATTTTAATAGTAAAGTAGAAATTATAGTTTTCTTTTATATATATACACCTAGGCCATTTCACTAAAAAAAAAATCCGAGTTTATTATATATCATTATTAATGTATAAGTTACACATATGTGACCAATTTAACCAACTAAAATATTATTATTTAAGTGTTCTTAGTACCTGCCTACTATTACAAAAAAAATATTGTCAGACAATCATCAAGTTTCCGAAATTTATTTTTAATTATTAATAATAATATTCATTTATTTTTCAATTAATAATTTTGCAATACATTGTGATAAAATTAAAATAACAGAAATTGGTCAGTTCCAAGCCACTGGCTGTGTGTGTGTGATAGTTTATAGTATAGTATTAAATTGAAAAAAATAGTGAGTTGTACATATGTGAGAAGAAATAGATATTTAATAGTAATGAATCACCAAACAATAAAAATGTTATGAATTAAAAATAAGATATAATAATATTGGTGAAGTAAATGTTAACGAATATAGATAAATAAAATAAAAGGAGAAAAACGTATAGTAAAAAAATAATAAAGTGTTTTTACAATAATAAGATATTACGTTATAATGTTTAGTGTACTTTAAAAAACTAGTCCTACTCTACATAATATTATATATAATGGTGGGAATAATTTTTTTGAATAGTTAGAATAATACAATTTATAAGGGTTAAGTTAAAAATTTAACTCAGAAATTTCCAAATACATAATCCGGTCCCGATTGTGTAGCAATTTAGGAATAGTTAAATTTATATTGTGCTTAAATGGGTACAATGAGAATGATTTGGTAATATTATGTTATAATATGTATGCTTATATAATAAGGTACCTACAAACATATAATAAATGATGCGAAGAATTATTAAATATTTTAATTCATTTAAGTGTTGATTTGGCTTAGTTTGTTGAATAGATATGTAATTTAAGAGTTAAGGGGGCCTCAAATGTATTGGTATGAGTTTCATAAGCAGGGCCCCAAAGGCCATTTCCGTATGTAATTATAGATTGCACTATACCGTAGTTATATTATTAAACAATTTATTTAGGTTATTATTACTCAAAATATTTTTTAAATACTTAAATACATAAAACGTGGCTTATGTTAATTTTTAAGCTGTCGTATATTATATGTATATTCTATTTGCGACAATCATAATATGTATAGACCTTTAGTAAATATTTATATTTAATTGCAATTTTGTCATAAATATACGGGCAATCGCCTACTCAGTTTTTTTTATAAGGATTACAAGATTCATTATGTAAAATAAATTTTGTGATTTCCAAATTTTTAGATTCTGAGCTGAGTGATGAATGTATTGATTTTACAATGATGTGTATTTTCGTATATATATATTTTTTTTGTGTTTGTCGTCAGTCGTCACAGTTTCTTGCAGTAAAAGTGCTTCGATTTTCTTCAACATCATATTTTCTGCTAGGAAACTGAATCCAGTTGGTACATTCGGGATGTCAAAATTTAAAATTCTCAATTGATTTCAAAATCAACAGGAAAAAGAAACAAAAAATTAAGGAAAAACTGGAATTTGTAAGCAAAACCATTTTTTGAAAAAAATCGATTTTGGTTTCTAATGTAGCTCTAGCAAAAGACCCTAGATACATGAAATTTTCACTGCATATTTGCGTAAGCATTTAGTATACACCATACTATTTTCAAAATATTTTGATTTGTATTGAACTATTTCTGGCACATGAAATGTTCGATTATTATTTGTTTTTTTTAAGCCGAAGTCGATAAAAATATTTTCGCTTCGTCGAAAAGCTTGAAAATGTAATACAAAGTTCTTTATAAGTTATTGTTGATGGATATTTAAAAAAAAATTGAGTGTAAATCCACAAAAATCGCGAAAAATAGCAAATAATATTTAGTTAGAAATTTATAAAAAATTGTCTATTTATAACTAAGATATAGAAATTTAATACAAGATTTCTTTCAAGTTTGTCTACCTTTATCAAAAAATAATGTCTATCGTAAGTCAAATTAAATTTTTATGAACGTTTGAAGTTGAAATTTTTACAACATTGGATGTTCACTCGATTTCTAGATTTCTCACCTTATTTTGACTCGTTTTAAGCTGTTGATGGACATTTTCAATTTTAATTTTTTTTTCTATAAATGTCAATAAAATTTTATTAGTTGGGTCTAAAAGCTTGATAATTTAATACAAGACTCTTGATATATTGTTACAATAGAAGTTGAAAAATATAATAATAATAATTTTTATAAACATTTAAAGTTCAAATTTTGATAATATTTATCAAATTGAAAATGATGTTTTAGTTAAAAATGTATAACATTTTCAATGTTCATAGCTAAGGATTGAAAATTTAAAGCAATGTTCCACTTAAGCAGTTTTTCCTGTAACTTAGAAATCTAAAAATATATGAATATGGTTATTTTTATAGACGTTTTAAGTTCAAATTTGGACAAAATTGCATATTACAAAGAATAACGTTTATAATTTTGTTGTAATTCGGTTCCAAAACAGCCCAATTTTACATACATATATTTAATATTTTTCCAGCATCATTGATGATTTAAGAATAATATTAATTCAATTTACCGTCTACCATATTCATAATGAGTAATACCAGTGTAAAATATCCTTAACTGACATACCGTCTCCGTTCAGAATCGTTTTTCGTATACAATGATTTGATATCATTGTATATCCCTTTTTTATTTTAAATTGAAGACATTTTGATTTATCGTAGGTAATTAATTTTTAGTGAACTGTTATCAAAATATAAAATAATATTGGTTAATAATAATTATATATAAATTCTGATTATCAATTTTAAAATTATTGTTTTAGTCAATCTATTTAGCTAATGACGATTAACTATTATTGAATATTGGAAGACACATAATATTTACATATAATGTATAGTCTTGTATTATTTTAATTTTTTACGAGTACATACTTTTTTCTTGTAACATTTCAATGGATTGGATTTTATTTTGATTAAATGTTCAAAACAATGATTGATTACGAAAATATACGAAGGGTCCAATTGTTTTTATAGTATAGGGTTTTATTAGTGGAACATGTTTTTTTAAACGTTAAAATGAAAAATTAAAGTTGATGTATAGTTTGTTTTAAATATATTATGTTTATTAGCTGACAAAAAATTCAAAATGTGCATTTTATTTATTAAAATACATTCAGAATAAGGGTTATTAAAATGTATTATACGATAATGTTATGTTTTATTTTTAATTTTAATTTAATACAATTTGATGGATTAACTTCTTTTGACTTTCGACATTTGTACACATATTTTATAAGAAGCCGTCGTTTCTTCTTTTCCTGAAAATGTATAGTACTCTTTGATTTTTACTGTGTTATAGAAACAGTAAAAGATTATGTCAGCTACAGATTATTAATTATGTTTAAGCAACTCTTCGGTTTAGACTACAAATTTAATGCAAATTTACGCGAACGTATAAATCGTCTGTGGTGTAAAAAACAAATACAATCGGTTTTAAACTCTAACTTTCAATCCAAGACTGATGTATATAATTTCAATAATTCAAAAAACATGTATTTCTTGGACAATTTATCCGA